TTGCCAAGCTTGTTCTAAGTAGGTGCTTTAGACCACTGAGCCATCTCTCCAGCCCAGAGATAATTGAATTTTTAAAAAAACAAGCTCTTTTTATGTGTAAAGTATTTTTAAATCATAGGTATTTCATTTTCTCTTAAAATTAGTTTTACTAATATTTAGGATAAAATGTCAGTAACTTATATTTTATGGATACAATGAATTATATTTATATGCCAAAAAATCAAATGTATGTCTCCAAATTATGCTAATGGATTTGTAAGTGATGTAAGGGAATTCCTAGCAGTTTCATTAATAGTGGTCAACTACTGTAAACAATACAAATGTCCACCAACAAGAACTTGATTAATACACTGTGATTTACAGATATGTACATGCCATAAGAATGACACTTTATATATTTCTATTAAAAATTGTTGCATATTGGATCTTTGCCTCATTAATATTACCTTTAAACTGTTTAATTTCACTTATCTCTTTGTTTATTTTTTGCTCTTTTGAGACAGGGTCCCACTATGGAGCCTTGTACTAACAGCAATTCTGTGGCTTCAGCCTCTCCAGTACTGGGATTACAAGCATGCACCACCATGCCCAGTATCATATATAAGAAATGACATATATGATGTAAGAAAAAAAATATATATATATGATATAAGAAACATATGTATATCATATATAAAATATATATGATATAAGAAATACATGTATTTCTTATATCTTTTAAGTCTGTATTACTTAGCATAGCTCACGGACAGTGAGGGCCCTGCTCTCTAATAAGCACTTCAGGCTGTGCCAGAGATTCTCCTGCTTCAAAGCATCATTGCAGGGTGTTCTTGTTCCTCACATCCTCATGTTACCTGAGAGCCACTCACATTGATCCAGAAACCAGGCTAGAGTGCAGCTTTGCATATACTCTCTTCCCTGACTGCACTTTACCTTCCACCCTTAAGCCTAATATTTGGCTTGGTTTATTTTGGAAAGGATTTTGTAGATAGAACTACCATTGCATGAGAATTAACAGCAGGAATCAACACACGGGATCACGCCAAATTAAAAATGCTTCCAAAGAACAAAGGAATCAATTACTAGAACGAAGAGCTAACCCACAGAATGGGAAAAGACTTCACCATCTATTTCTCAAACCGAGGACTAATATCTAGAATTTAATACAAAGTCAAAAAAAAAATAGTCCTCTTAAAAGAAATCAAGAAATTGTCAAGTGAAATGAGCAGACACTTCACACTGGATGAAGTACAAATAGCCAAAAAGCAAATGAAAAAATGTCTTTGACATTCCTGGCTGTCAATGTGAAGTTTCCATCTTTCTATAGAAAAAAAAATTCATTAAGAAATAAAAACAAATGC